GAAATAGAGACAGAGTCCTACTGCACTGTGACAGATATTCTGGAATTAGAGAAACATTGTTCCCTAAATTTACACATCTAATCCCAGAATTCCCACACCTGCCAGAATCACAACAACTCCCAATCCCACTGGGAGAGGAAGGAGGGAACTCAGCTGAACTGGCAGCCCAGTATGTGATCTCCTGTCACAGCCTGAGGAACAGTGAGCCTGTCTCCCAATAATGCTCCATATTTCTATATGTAAATATCGTATGACTGTGTCTGTATTGTGAATGTCTGTAGATTTTTGCTGTATGTTAATTGTATTTGTTTTGCTTTGGCAGCACTGATTTGACTTATTGGAAATGCCAATACAGCACCTTGAATTGAACTGAATTGAACTGAGGGAGGGGGAGGGAGAGGGAGGGGGGTAGACTGTTGGTTGATTCCAGACTGAAGCCAAAGGCCAAAGAGCAAAGACCTCCTGTCTCGGAGGGGAACCTGGGAGTGTTGGAGTGAGCCTCACCCCTCAGTGTTTTATTCTGTATTAGCCCACTTGCCAGGAAACACACTCGGACCCCCCCAGCTGTCCAGCTCTGTGCGGAGGCTCTGGGGGAGGGGGTCTGCGTGCCGTTCCGGGGTCTGTGGAAATGTCACTGCTCTCCGTGGGCACGGCTGTCTGTGTCTGCTTGCCCCAGACTGGATCAATAACACAATTCAATTCCTATTCCCAGGCCACAGGGGCTGACACACACTCCTGCTCTCACTGCCATTCATTCCCTCTCCTTACACGGCTGGCCAGGGTGGAAAACTGGGCTCACTAGGGAGCTGAACCCACATCCTCCCAGTTAAGAGTCATTCACACAGACGCTACATACACTTTCACATTGACGGATATATAGTGCAAAACACTAACAGACGCATAAAACTCAGAAACACCCGGTGTCCCACAGTGTATCTCATACGGGTACAGTGTCTGTCTTTCACACATTCACACCTCATAAAGACATTTCTATCTATACACACTCACACTGCTCACTCACAAACCTGTGAACACACACTCACACTGCTCACTCACAAACCTGTGAACACACACTCACACTGCTCACTCACAAACCTGTGAGCAAGCAAGTCACACTTTTCTGATTTCTACATTACTTCAAAATTATGATTTTAAAAGCTTAAATTTTACTCTCACTTAGTTACCTCTCTGTGCTTTATTGCACTGTGCTTTTACCCTGATCTCACTGGGCCTTACTGCACTGGACTGTGCTTTTACCCTGATCTCACTGGGCCTTACTGCACTGGGCTGTGCTTTTACCCTGATCTCACTGTCTTGCTACAGGTGTATTGTATTTGTACCATGTATTACCACTCTGGGGTTCCGTACCACTTCCCAGTGTGCTTGGGCAGGTTCGGGGTCTGACACAGAGTGGCTGAGCCCTGTGAGGAACACAATCGTTTCCAGGCTCACAGACACCTCCTGGGCAATTTCTCTGACACCAGCACCAGCATACACAAAATTCACAACAGAAGTTCAGCCACGTTTAGACTGAAAATTCATTTCCACTGTGACAGTGTCCCACCACACCGTTTGTCAGCCGTTACTATTTCTGTCGTGCCATTGATAGTAGCTCATGGCCACAGAACACTCACACACACTCAATTACACTCGCATGCACGCACACTCACACTCAGTTACACTCACATGCACGCACACTCACACGCACACTCACACATACTGTACACGCACCCACACGCATGCATTGTACAGACACTCAATCTGCAGGTAGACACTGCAAGTTTACACAACAGCACTTCCCTTTCAGCACAGCTAGAGCATCACACACCTGCTACAAGGAGATGGTGAGGATGAGGACGATGATGATTGATGATGATTAGTGTTCAGAGTACTCACCCCTCAGTTGCTCTGGGCTGGCTTATCCACAAGGAATCACGATTGCACCCCCTCTCTCTCCCTGCTGCCCAGAGTTCCCCTTTCTCTCCTGTCGCTAATGTCTTCCAGTCTGTCTCTCCCTCTTCCAGCCTGTCTCTCTCTCCCTCTTCTACCATGTCTCTATCTCTTCCAGCCTGTATCTCCCTCTTCCAGCCTGTCTCTCCCTCTTCCAACCTGTCTCTCTCTTCCTTTTCCAGCCTCTCTCTCCTTCTTCCACCCTGTCTCTCTCTCCCCCTTCCACCCTGTCTCTCTCCCTCTTCCAGCCTGTCTCTCTCTCCCTCTTCCACCCTGTCTCTCTCCCTCTTCCAGCCTGTCTCTCTCTCCCTCTTTCACCCTGTCTCTCTTCCTCTTCCAGCCTATCTCTCTCTCCCTCTTTCAC